CTAAATAATCTTTGCGTGTATTTCAACATTTTAAAAATATTTTGATGTATTTTAATACTTGAAGCTTTAAAATTGTTTTTAAGGACAGATTCGTATTCATGTATATTTTCTGCCTTGTGTTCCAGGCTGTTGCAAGTCCTCATACTCATGGATAAAAATGATGGATATTCCTGAGTATTGCACAGAGGTATATATTATCCAGCAAGCTACATGACATCTCTGACAATCTGCCTTTTTTAATATCTGTTTGCTTGATATTTTTCCTTAAGGAGGAATTTAATTCTGATCTGAAAATGCTACAATATTCCCCATCCCCTGGATTCAATTAACACAGCAGGTGGGAAATCAAGACATTGTGACAACTATTCTTCCATCTCAAAACTATGTAGCAATTTTTATTCCAAAAGGTCTCAAATACTGACAGGATAATTTGTAGCACCTTTGAATGCTCCTTTGTAGTAGTTAAAAATTCAGACAAACCTAATCTTGCCACAGCCCCTGAAGCTCACAGTAAAAGGCAAAGCTGTGAAAACTGTCTTGGCTCAAAGCTCTGCAACTGCACGTGATGACTTATGCAGCAGAGTTTCCATCAGGTTTCTGGAAATGCTTACAGGGTTTTTCATGTTGTCACCATGGAAGATAGTGGAAGTGTTAAATCAGTGGGATTTGGAGGATCACGTTCTTACCATTCACAGAAAATGGAACCGCAGTGTCTCCCTTCTGCAGCTGATATATTTTAATGCGTCCTGCATCTCAGCCTCGGCTAGGCTTTTGCAAGTTAAATCCAAAGACAGATTTGCACAAACCTACCTGGCTGGTGGAGTCAAACAAGGTACATGAGTGCTACCTGAGGGACATTTTAAAAAATACTTCTACTTCATGTATGTCCAGAGAGAAATATAGTTCTTTGTATTTGGCAAGATAGTTGTCCCATTTCTGGTGTGGGGATTTATTTTTATTATGTCTTTACATAAGATACTCCTCTTCAGTTGCAGTTATTGCAGCAGTGTGGGCCCAAAGTCCTCTGATACAATACTACCGCTGTCAGCTGAGTTGGCATTACTAGATTACATCTAGCTCATGGTTTGAAAGAGCAAAACTTGGTGAAATAATGAGTATATTATTATTATTGTTATCCTAAGATTGACAGCATCTGTGATCTTGGTAAACTGTGCTAGAAGTTCTGTCCAAACTCAGGAAAGAAGGTAGCTCCCATCCATGCTGCAGCCCTTCTGGCTCATTGTCTGTTTCTGGGGTTATGCACTTTGCCTCTTGCAGGATCCACTCACCTATCTAAAACCTCTCTCACCATTTTAGCTGTTAAACATACTGTGAGCAGCAGGCAAACAAGCTGCCATTGTGGACATTTCAAGTTGCTGTTTCTCCAATGATGACCTTTCATGCTCTTTCATTTCTAAATTTAGCTGGTTACTAAAGTGGGAGTCTAGCAGATTTGGTGACACGAGAAACACTAATGCAGAGCCTGTATATAATCACTCTTATTATAACAGCACAGATTATGAGACAGTGTAATTACTATTCCATAGGCAAATGAAGTTTATTTTACGAAACTGCACCTTTTCAAGTCTAATAAACCATTACAGACATTCACTCAAGACCAATATATGCAGCACAAAATCAAAAGTATTATTTAAGGGCTGACACCCAGAACTTGGAAATCTGTTCACGTTTAGGATTGCTGTGTCCGTATTTGAACAGATGACATTGTAATTGCCAGGCACAAGTACACCTTAAATCTGAAATTTAATCATTTAAAGAGCTGCCTCACTGCCATCTAATGAGGAGAATGTACTGGAAAATAACAGGAAACATTCACAAATGTGAAATAAAGTATTGAGATTCAGAAAAGTACTGTACCGATACTGGCACTGTGACTGAGACACAATGATGTAACTATTCCAAGTTCCACGAAATTGCAGAAAAATTGTACCATGTTAAATTCTGCTTTGTTATTTTCAGATCCGATAAATATGGCAAAGTAAGAAAAGCTCTGTGTTGTTCCGATGAGATAAATGACAAGCAGTTTTATTCCCTGGATCATATATATAAAATCTGATTAAAATATTCATAATTGTGCTTATATAGATAATGAGAAAGCTTAAAAGTTTTTAATCGCCCTTGTTCTCAGAAATCACATTTCCAGTATTCTAGTCAAAAAGCTTACCCTCCTTTTTTATAAAACAGCACAAGCACAGCCCAGAAAATTTGTTAATTCTTTCTTTAATAAAGCGGGCTAGATGTCCTTTCAGAGTAAAGATACAAAGTTCCACGACTAAATGAATACCCAGTCAAAATTTGATACTGCCTTTTTGCAGTACCTACAAATGACATGACATGCAAGAGACTTCGAACAGTCATAAATTACAGATTTGAGATACAGTACAACTGTCTCAGATACATATCTTAACCCCATATTAGTTTTCATCAGTAAGTTGCAACGCATATATTTTTTCTCTGATTATTGTTATTCATGAGCAGGCCATCTTTGGAGAAAAAGAATAATCTTGTATTTTAAATGACAATTTCTTTCTTGGTACAATCTTAACCTAATGCAAGACAAGGTGATGATTTGACACTTTGTCTAACTTACAAGTTTCTAACTTAACAAATACACAAAATTCTAACTATCTCTGCATTATGATCAAGTATCAGAGACATCAAGGACATGGTATAAACAAAGCAGATTCATCTACTGGAATTTGCTCTGATCTTATTTGTATAAATATCTCTCTGCTTCTGAAGATTTTTATATCCCACGGCATGATGGGCATTCAGCTCATCAGTATTCACTGATTAGGGTAAACTTATTAGAAGTTCCCAAAATCTTAATATACTTCAGCACTGATTTAAAATATGCAATATTAAAGATACAGCTAATTTAAAAAAAAAAAGAACTGTACAAATCACACTCTTCCATTGGCAATGAGACTGTTCAAGAAAATAGCAATGTGATCCCTGAAACAAACAACCAGAACAGAAATCAAAAGACTGATGCTTAAAAAAAATAATAAAAACAAACCAAAACATTTTCCCCTGCCAAAGTAATGGAATCTTTGAAGGTTTATGTATCACAGAATATAAAACTTCTCTCTCTGTCCCCAGAACATTTCTTTCCTCGTTCCATAGGTACTCCTTGAACAGATTCCCCTTTGTTGATGGCGTGGCACAAGCCTTGCTGAATGGGTTAAGGCTAGAAAAGCTTGAAAGACTTAAATAAATCAACAGCCACCTAATCCCCTGGCATTCATGCAAACTCAGGGAAATAAAATAAACCTGGACAGGCATGCATACTGAATTCCAAAGTGATTTTCTATGAAGCTTAAAATTAAATAAAAATAAACACCTCTCTGAAATGTTATGTATTTAAGCTCTTTCATCTACACAGTCATCTGACTGTTCATATCACTCTGTCGCAGAGAGGTATGACGCTACTCCTGCTCATAACATTCTAGTATTTTATCATTTGACAAGGCACAAACAATCTCAGAAGAACTACATGGTGTCTTCTGAACATGTAATTACATGACAATTATCTCCTCAGTTCAGTCACTGACACAGACCTTGTAAAATCTAAGACCAGCAAACTACATGACACCGCATCTTTGGAATATGGTACTTAACTCCATTTACAATTACAGACTAAACAGCAAATAACTACCATTTCTTAACTCAAAAATCTCACAAGTTTGCCATGCAATTCTGAACCTGTTGCATGGTATAACGTATATGTGTCTTAGAAGTAAATGGAATTTTGTTTGCTGCTGTTATACAGCGACTTTCTAGCACTCCTTCCTCAAGTTAGTTCTGTAGGTCCTGCAAGAGGAGGCATCCACTCGCCATTTTGTGAATTCCAATGCAGCTTAAAGGAATCAGAGAGTACAAAAAAATCCTCCCTTATGTACTTGAACAAAACTGTTATTAGATGCACTATGTACTTGATGGGAAAGAAATATGCTTTTCCAACATAGAACAAGTTCTAGAGTTAATTAGAAACTTTCTATTGGTTAATGCTGCTGCACCATTAAGTTTTTCTTGACTAGAAATGTGGAAATCATATAGGAATATATGTAAACAGAGTCTATAGGAGATAATAGTAAAGAGACATAAAGTGCTTTTAATTATGAACATTTCATTTCACTTTGCACCCTTCCCTGGTGAGTTAGCATACTCAAGCTAGTTTTAGTTCAATTGGCTCAGGTCTACACTATGAAATACTGTGATTTCCCTTGCACCTACAGTTTTAACTGTGGTACCCTCTGTAAAATAAAAAATAATTCATGTCAGGTGGAGTAAAAGTAGGCAGATATAAAGAGGGTAACAACTGA